TGATTATTTCATAAGTGTAGTCACTTCTGGTTCAAAGGGTATGGGGGGGGCAGCCCCAATGGCGCAGCGGTTTAGCGCCACCTTCAGCCCGGGGTGGGGTCCTGGAGACCAGGGATCGAGGCCCACGTCGGGCTCCCGGCGGAGCTTGCTTCTCTCTGCCTCTCTCTCATTCTCTCTCTCTCTCTCTCTCTCTCTCTCTCTCTCTCTCTGTGTGTGTGTGTGTGTGACTCATGCATAAATAAATAAAATCCTTTAAAAAACAAAAAAACAAAGGGTATGGGGGGTGAGGAGGATCCATACATAGCTCAAATTGTCAACACTGTGGCAATTAAGAAACACAGAAAGGGGTGACTGGGTGGCCAGTCAACTGGTGGCTCAGTTGGTTAAGCATCTGCTTCAGCTCATGTCATGATCTCAGGGTCCTAGTATTGAGCCCCATAGCAGGCTCCCTGCTCAGCAGGGGGTCTGCCTTTCCCTCTCCCCCTGCTTCCCACCCCCGCCAACTCAGGCCCTCTAATAAAGAAAATCTTAAAAAGAAAAAAGAAAAAAAATAGGGGAAAGACTCAATTCTCAAAATGCTTATAACTTGCTCGGAAAAACTAGTCAAAAATATCAAGACACGGGCAGCCCGGTGGCTCAGCGGTTTAGCTGGCTCAGCGGTTTAGTTCGGCCTTCAGCCCAGGGCCTGATCCTAGAGACCCGGGATCGAGTCCCACGTTGGGCTCCCTGCACGGAGCCTTTTCTCCCTCTCCCTGTGTCTCTGCCTCTCTGTGTGTGTGTCTCTATGAGTAAATAAATAAAATCTTAAAAAAAAAAAATACCAAGACACTAAAAGTTAAAGAAAATCCCTGATTTAGTTTAGTGGAGTTGCTTATGTGGTATTGGCCCCTATGAAAGCAAAAAGATATCAGTATTATGAGGAAAGTTGTGCCAAATTTTTAAAGAAAGACTAAGTGAATTCTATCAAAGGGTGGTTTCTTAAAATTCATCAAGTCTAACCTCCCACTCAATGCTGACATCTTTTAGAACATCCTTACCACTCGTTCAGTTTCTGCTTAAAATGTCCTAAAACAGGACACCTGGGTGGCTCAGCAGTTGAGCTTCTACCTTCTGCCCAGGGCATGATCCTGGAGTTCCAGGATGGAGTCCCACCTCAGGCTCCCTACATGGAGGCTGCTTCTCTCTCTGCCTCTCTATCACTCTGTCTCTCATGAAAAAAATAAAAAACAAAATCTTAAAAAAAAAAAAAAAAAAAAAAAGCCCTAAAAAAAAAAAAAGAAACCCAAACTAGTCCATTTCATTTAAGAACTAATTTAATATTCTTCCTTACAATAAACTACAATATAGTTTCTTATAATTTTCATTCATTAGTCAACTTGTCCCATTCATTAGGAATGAAGTTTTGTGTTTAAGTAATCTCAACACTCAACGTGGGACTCAAACTCACAACCCCAAGATCAAGAGTAACTGACCAAAAAAAAAAAAAAAAAAACAAAGAGTAACTGACCAACTGAGCCATCCAGGAACTCCTAAAATGTTTAAAATAATAATAATAGGGATCCCTGGGTGGCGCAGCGGTTTGGCGCCTGCCTTTGGCCCAGGGCGCGATCCTGGAGACCCGGGATCGAATCCCACGTCGGGCTCCCGGTGCATGGAGCCTGCTTCTCCCTCTGCCTGTGTCTCTGCCTCTCTCTCTCTCTGTATGACTATCGTAAATAAAAATAAAAAAATAAAAAAAAATTTAAAATAATAATAATAATAGTAAGATTTTCATCTATTACAATCCTACACCTCTTTTTTTTTTTTTAAGATTTTATTTATTTATTCATGAGAGACACAGAGAGAAGGCAGAGACATAGGCAGAGGGAGAAGCAGGCTCCATGCAGCCAGATGTGGGACTTGATCCCACAATACTCCATCCTGGAACTCCAAGATCACACCCTGAGCCAAAGGCAGATGCTCAACCGCTGAGCCAGAGGCATCCCAATTCTCCCCCTCTGAGAAGAGTCGTCCCAATTCTCCCCCTCTTAAATCACCTCAAAACTAAACCTCTCGGGACACCTGGGTGGCTCAGCAGTTGAGCGTCTGCCTTGAACTCAGGCTGTAATCCTGGAGTTCCAGAATCGAGTCCCGCATCTGACTCCAGAGGCTGCTTCTCCCTCTGCCCATGTCTCTGCCTTCTCTCTGTCTCTCTCATTAATAAAAAAATAAAATCTTAAAAAAAAAAAAAACTAAACCTCTAAATTACTCAAATGTTTTCCACATTTCTAATGATTATCCTATAAAGAAATTCTACTTTCTCACTGTGCCTCTTAAAACCAAATACCCCAAAAGAACACAAAATTCCAGATCTGATCTAACCACTGTCATCATCTTTTTTGTCTGGGTCACCACAAACAGTACAAGTTGCCAGGCAGTACACAATTCATTGCCAAATTTTAGTGGTAATATTCAAACCATAAGTAATTTATATTTAAAGGAGTTTAGAGTTTAAGACTGTGTAGGGGAAAAAGATCACTGAGGACAGAACTTAGGAACTTTTCAACCAAAAAAAAGTAGACTGTATGCTAGGAAAAGAATATATTTTTGACAAGCATAAAATTCAAAAAAGAATATTTCAGGGAGTACCAATGCAGAATACTGGTACAGAGGCAGGAACTAGCAGAGTTAGTGCTAGAGCTAAATATCTGTATAAAGATAGGCAAGAATATAGGGCCAAAAATGAGGGCTAGAATCAGACTATTGAAAGCACTTAACCTGTAGGCAATAAGGCATGATTAAAAGGTTAAATCAAGAAACTGACTTCTTGAGATGTTTGGGGATAATTAAATACCAGTTTGCAAGTTTCTACATCAGTTTCTACTACTGTTTGAACTCTGACTACAGGGGAAAAGTTTCTAATTCAATACTACTCCAAGATGAACTGAAATTGAGTTATATAGTATTCTTACACAAGCTTCTCTCATAACATGAACATTCCTAACTCCAAAATATAATGCAGGAATATCATTTTAGAAAGACTTATTTTGATCCATTTCTGTTAAGTTTTCCCAAAATGGATACTTTGCCATTTTATATGAATACTTCTCTGCAAGGTACCTGCTAGTTTCAGTAATTAATCATCTTCAGAATCTCCACTCAAGGGCAGGCAGCCCGGGTGGCTCAGCGGTTTAGCGCTGCCTTCAGCCCAGGGCCTGATCCTGGAGTCCCAGGATCAAGTCCCACGTCAGGCTCCCTGCATGGAGCCTGCTTCTCCCTCTGCCTGTGTCTCTGCATCTCTCTCTCCCTCTCTCTCTCTCTCTCTCTCTCTCTCTCTCGTGAATGAATAAATAAAATCTTAAAAAAAAAAAAAAAAAAAAAGAATCTCCACTCAAAAGACCATGACCTACTGGTCTCCAATCCCCCAGGTTCAAAAGAGAGATCCAACTAATACAGCATAAAAAGTGAAGAGGTTAGCTAACAGAATTTGTAGACAATGAAAGTTGCCCAATATTAGAACAAGTGAAAACAGCAGCAGCTCTTTCTCTGAAATTATTTAAATGCAATTAAATAGGAATTTCTGGCTTAATAGTGTTCCTGCCTAATAAAGAGTCTTCCATGAGGACTAGCACAATAATACAGTATAGCAGTAGAGATTTAAACTATCCAAGGGACAGTGCAAAACCCAACCTCTCCCAAATCCTGCTACTCAACAGCAGGGATCTAAAGGAATAAATAGATTCCCAGCTGCTAAGAGAAAATGTCTTACTAAAAGCAAAGCAAAATTCTCATTAATGAAAAATCAACCATGAAGAAAAAAATTGTCTCGTAATCCCTAGAAATAGCCAAATCCATTTTGGGTTAATGGAGATTTAACAAAACAGTGGAGGACAACAGTGCAAAACAGTTACCTTTGCCAGCAGCTGGGGGAAACACCCATCAGAGAGATCACAAATAACAATGCTGCTAATCCACAGAGCCAAAAGAAACATGAACTCTATCCAGTGAAGGGTACCAGGAAAAGGCTAAGGAAAGATAAATTCTCTCCCTCACCATCAAGCCACCTTATCCCATCTTGTTGAACACTGATATGATAGGCTGTAACTTGAATTTTCCAAGATCAAATTCAATGGGTAATCCAGACCCTGCTTTTTCTGATCAGATAATCTCTTAAAATCACAGTCCTCACATGCATTTATTCAAAGCCAGTACTGAGCTTCTCTGCCAGGCACCAAGAATACAAAAACTAGTAAGAAACAGTCTCTACCCTCACAGAGCTTAATGCATACACCTTGCCTCATCTTAAACCCCAAAGCTCTTCCCTTAAAATATCTTCTTAGGTGGGTCAACTGTCCTCAGTGAAAAAGCAATAAAGGCCTTTTACCTACTGTAATAGAAGCTAAAACATAAATACACGTATAGGTTATACGACTTATGTTCTCCAAAAGGAGAGAAGACAACACACTTTTCCAAGTCGAATATTAGAATAATCTTAGCCTAGACTACAGAGAAGCCGGGAACCAGACAAGCAACAGAGGGTGCAAGCCAAGAAATACACTGGAAGAAGGGATGTGACAGCTGTACCACGTCGCGTTCAAATAACGATAAAAAGAACCTTCTACTAATCCGCCTGCAGTTTCACGGTGCAAGGAAAAGGAAGAAAAGAAAGGGAGACTGCCCGCTGTTGACACCCAACTATTCGCGGTCTCCTAGCTAGTGTACTCTCACTAGAGAAGAGCCCCGGTCACTGTTTAATAGGATCTGGGCCTGCTGGCCAACAACTCCGTCACGTGGCCACCGAAATGGAGAGAGGTTAACAGTCCCTCACGGGAGAGTGAGGGAAAACAAGACAGAGTGAAAAGAACCTCCTTAAACGTTTATAAATGAGTTAACACAATCGCCCACCGAGGCGCAGAGGAGAACTGAAGTTTGGAAAAGGTGGTAACCCCACGCCCACTGGATGCGTGTGGGGACCCCTCGGCGACCCCTGCCCCCCCCCCGCCCCACATCCACACACTCACCGCGTACACAGAGCAGCGACATGGCCGAGGCACTCGCGAGCCTCCGTCGCACCCCGCCGCGCCGCCGCACCCGGCGGCTCCCTCTTTCCTCTCAGCAGGTGCCTCTCAGCAGGCTGCTCCCGCTCTCGGCCGCACAGGTCTGAAGGCTCCTCATGGTCCCCGTGGCAGGCAGCGTCCCGCCGCTCCCTCGGACCCGCTTCAATCCTCACCGTCTGACCGTGCTCCCAATAGCTGCGAGTACGGGCGGACAGGCAGAAGACTGGGCGCGGCACAGCGGCGCCATCGCTGGGAGGCAGGAGCTACCGGGACTACCCCCCTCCTCTCGCTGCACCGGGATCCCGGCGAGCGCCTGGAAGGAGCCAACCCGTGGCGCCCCGCCTCCTAGCCAATCAACTCACGCCCAGTCCGCCGACCCCGCCTCCTATAAGCACGTAAGAGGCGGGGTTTCCTTCCCTTTCCTTACGTGCAAGAATGAAGGCAGCTCCGCCCACTAATAGGTCTTGGAACGGCGAGGGCGGACTTGCCCTCACCAGTGTGAGGAGGTAACTAAAGTCTTCTGCTCCTCCCACCCAAGAGGATTCTTTTCATTGAAGAATTTCCGTCGGACTTCCTTAGTCTATCCCTTACAACTAACGGAGATCCTACCTGTAATAATTTAGCAAGAGTGTACCACAAGGCAAGCATGTTTTACTCAGCAATTACAACAAAACAAAGGAAAATAGCTGAGTGAGCATGAAGTAAAATGTTTGGAGACTTCAGTTCTCATCTAGACCTTTTTTTCTTTTTTTTTTTTTAAAGATTTTATTTATTTATTTATGAGAAACAGAGAGAGAGAGAGAGGCAGAGACACAGGCAGAGGAAGAAGCAGGATCCATGCAGGGAACCCGACGTGGGACTCGATCCTGACTCGATCCTGAGACTCCAGGATCACGCCCTGGGCTGAAAGCGGTGCTAAACCGCTGAGCCACCTGAGCTGCCCCTAGACCTTTTTTTTTTTTCTTGCATGCCATTGTATCTCCAATTACTATAATAGTACTTTGTATGTAAAAATCAGTCCGTTCATATTTACTGAATGAAGGAGAGAGGGAACAAAGGTCTTTTAAGCTAGGACTTCTGGTAAGATGACAAATGCACATGTGAGGAACTAAAAAAGACCAGAGCAGAAACCCGGAAGATACATAGTGTATTGTACAGATGGAACATCTCTTCCAAGACACAATTCTACTTTAATTGGCTTGGAGTAAAGCTCAGGAATCTGTTTTAAAAGCTCCCCAGGTGATTCTAATGTGATGCCAGGGCTGAGCACCATTGGAGGAGATGCTTTCGAAGGCCTCATTAGCCCACCTCAGGTTTCAGCATTTGCAAACTCTTGGCCTCATGGGATTCTACCTGCCAGACTGGGAGGGTCAGTCAATCTAACAGGGTCTTTGCTCTCCAAAAGCAAACCTAGCTATCATATGATTTCTTTCACTGGAATAGTTGCAATGAGAGAGTGACACTCCAAATGCAATAGCAAGCAATAGCAAATGCAATGAAAAAGAAAACTTGATCCTTCCAGGTTCATCCAAATTTGGAGCAATACCCTGAGGAAGATTTTGACTAGGACGATTCAGCCAGCTTAGTCAATAGAGATGTTGACCTAAAAATATGAGCATTCTCTGGGCTGCTGGAGGTTGGGCTACCTAGCTGTCCTTTATAAAATTGAGAAAAGCATGAACTTTGAAGCAAAATCAGATCCATCTTGTGTATTATCAATTATGTAATAAATTACTCCAAAATTTTGTGGCTTTTTAAAAAAAAGATTTATTTATTCATGAGAGACACAGAGAGAGAGGCAAAGACACAGGCAGAGGGAGAAGGAGGTTCCCTGTGGAGAGCCTGCTAAAATTTTGTGGCTTAAAACATTTATTATCTCACTGTTTCTGTGGGTCAGGAATCTGAGTATGGCTTGATTGTATCCTCTGGTTCAGGGTTTTTGTTTTTTTTTTTTTTAAGATTTTATTTATTTATTCATGAGAGACACAGAGAGAGAGAGGCAGAGACATAGGCAGAGGGAAAAGCAGGCTCCCTGTGAGGAGCCTGATGGGGCACTGGATCCCAGGACCCCGGAATCATGGCTTGAGCCAAAGACAGATACTCAACCACTGGGATCCCTGGGTGGCGCAGCGGTCTGGCGCCTGCCTTTGGCCCAGGGCACGATCCTGGAGACCCGGAATCGAATCCCATATCGGGCTCCCGGTGCATGGAGCCTGCTTCTCCCTCTGCCTGTGTCTCTGCCTCTCTCTCTCTCTGTGACTATCATAAAAAAAAAAAAAAGATACTCAACCACTGAGCCACGCAGTGGTCCCAGGTTCAGGGTTTTATATAGACTGCTATCAAAGTGCCAGTTTGACTGTAGAACGATTCACTTCCAAGTTCACTCATGTGATTGTTGGCAGGACTCAATTCCTCCTAGGCTTTTGGACTGAAAGCATCAGTTCCTTATTAGCTATTGGCTTGTCTCAATTCCTCGTCATTGGGCCTCTGCAACATGGCTGGTTGCTTCATCAAAGCATGCAAGCTGAGAAGGCAATAATGTCTATTAGCAAAATGGAAGTCACAATCTTTTTAACCTAATCACAGAAGTGACATCCCCTCATTTGTGTTGTATTCTATACATCAGAAGCAAGTCACATTCAAGGGATGGGGATTACACAAGGACATGAATACCACCAGAGCTGCTTCATTGGGGCAGCCATCATTGGCCGGCCATCCTAGAAATCTGTCTGCCATATCTGGATTTGAGTTCTAACTCTGATACTTTGACCTTGGGCAAGCTACATGGCCTCAGTTTCCCAAAGAATAATAATAGAAACTACTTCATAAGATGATTTTGAAGTTTAAATGAGGAACTGCCTTTAAATTACCTAGAACATAGAAAAATGCCCAATACATGTTTGTTGTTACTTAGGTTGTGGATATGAAGGGAGGAATGTGGCCTGGGAGACACAGGGAAGGTAAGCAGAGCAAGAGTCACTGTCTAAAGGCTATGATGTAGGGGCGCCATCTGCCAGTTAAGCATCTGCCTTCAGCTCAGGTCATGATCCCAGGGTCCTGGGATTGAGCTCCAGGTCAGGCTCTCTGCTCAGTAGGGAGCCTGCTTCTCCCTCTGCCTGCTTGTACATAGACTTGCTCTCTCTCCCTGTCAAATAAACAAATAAAATCATTTTTTTAAAAATAAACAAAAATAAAAGTTGTGATGTAAGCTCTGAAGCATCCCAGTTTCCTAGTCAAAAGTTCAAAGGAAAAAGGGAATGATGTCTTCTGCCCTCTAGGCACTTGACCAGCACAAGTTCTACTCATCAGCAAGATAAGTGTATCTTCAGAAGCAATTCAAACAGACATAGAAAACCAATCTTCCAGGATGCCTGGGTGGCTCAGTGGTTGAGCATCTGCCTTCAGCTCGGGGCATGATCCTGGAGTCTCGGGATTGAGTCCCACATCGAGTTCCCTGTATGGAGCCTGCTTCTCCCTCTACCTGTGTCTTTGCCTCTCTATCGGTGTCTCTCATGAATAAATAAATAAAATCTTTAAAAAAAATAAATCTTCCATGTCTCACAGTCTTCATTAGTTTTTCCAGTAGAGTACTTGAAAGTTCTTTAGTATTTGAATGGAATTCATACTTAAGGTTTAGCTGTCAGGTAGCTGAGAGCTAGGACTCTGAAATCAGGAAATGAAAAGGAAGGTGGGAGGGATCAAGGAAAGAATGTAATGAAGAGAACCCAAGAATCTCAAGAGGTTAAGAACAAAATACCCAGGTTTGGCTCTGTTGCTGCCTTTTTTGGAGCCCATAGGCAGAAGAGAAGGAGACCAGATAAGAACCCTGATGCAGGAGAACCCTTTATCAACTTTATGACTACCGTAAGCCATACTCCAAGGCCATTGAAAGTTTTCTCTTCCAGCAAGTTCCTTATCTCTTGGGAAATGTCTCCTAATGCCTCCAAAGAGAAATCTAATATAAATAACTAAATTAACAAATATTTACTAAATATCTTCTAGGTCAGTCTTAATGAGAGGATGCAAAAGTAAACAAAGCACAATTACTATCTGTAAATAGTTTACAAATGATAGGAAAGATCTGTGAAAGAAAGAGAAACTAAACAAGGACAGTGAATATGGAACTGAGGGGCAGCCCTGGTGGTGCAGCGGTTTAGCGCCGCCAGCAGCCCGGGGTGTGGTCCTGGAGACCCGGGATCGAGTCCCACATCAGGCTTGTTGCATGGAGCCTGCTTCTCCCTCAGCCTGTGTCTCTGCCTCTCTCTCTCTCTCTCTGTGTACCTCTATGAATAAATAAATAAAATCTTTAAAAAAAAAAAAAGAATATGGAACTGAGGAGGAAGAAAAAGGACAATCTCTTTAATACTTTTCAATGTTAAGAAACTAATGTGACAGAACTTGGCACAAAATGACCATGAATATAATAGAGAATAAAAATTTCCTTTCTTTAGCAAACCACTAGAGGGAGAGAGAGAGTTTTAAAGTCAGCTTTACTAAAAGGATGATGCTACAGTTTACTTTGGGGAGAAAGATGTTTCCTTTTGGACACATACATTAAGTTTGAGACTGTCAGGTATATTCTTGCATATAGAACCATTAGACAGATAATGTGGACTTGAACCCTAAGAAGGCAGTCCAAGCTAGAGACAGAGACTTCAATAAATTTATTGAGCATCGGGATCCCTGGGTGGCGCAGTGGTTTAGCGCCTGCCTTTGGCCCAGGGCGCGATCCTGGAAATCCGGGATCAAATCCCACGTCGGGCTCCCGGTGCATGGAACCTGCTTATCCCTCTGCCTATGTCTCTGCCTCTCTCTCTCTCTCTCTCTCTCTCTCTCTCTCTCTCTGTGACTATCATAAATTAAAAAAAAATTTATTGAGCATCTACCAAGTACTATACATGGTGCTACAAAGAAGAATAAGACAGCCCTTCAAAGAAAGCACAGTCTGGAGATAAACAGCCTGTGAAAAGTACTAATGATCATGTTTAAGAGGAAGAAGTGGGATGTTTGTATATAAACCTGGAGGTTTCAGATTGTTTATACTTAGTAAGTTTGGGGGCATGGTTAACTTAGCAAATACATAATCTTCATAAGGGAAGGGATGTGTGTTTCTCATTATTGGAAAAAAGTATCCAAGACTTGCAAACAAACAAATTACTGGGTGTTCTTGCAGTTTTAGTACTGAGCAGAGACCAGCAAACTTCTATAAAGGACCATTCAGTAAATACTCAGGTTTTAGGCCAAAAAAAGCAAAATTGAGGCTATTGTATAGGTATTCGTAAACAAGAGAGAAAAAAAATTTCCACAAAATTTTAAT